TCAAACACAGCAGGAGTGGTCAGTTCAGGTGAACTCCTGCCTGTTTGCTTCAGATCAGCTGTTCAAATCTCTGCAGGTTCAAATAAAAGGTGCACCAGGACTTTCAGCTGAATCTCTCGGGCCACAGTTGTATGGACGATAAACGATAACTGCTAAAAGATAACTGATGACTGATAATTGATAACTGTCCTTTCTGAATTTTGGACAGTTTTTGTCTCACTTCATCCTAGAACAAAACATTTATAACATAATAACAGTTGAGCAGATTCTAGTAATCTTTTCTTAGGATCCATTAAAGATCAAATGCAACTGGAAATTCTTCTCAATTCCAGTATGAATTTAAACAAACACTATCTGAACTTAACATTGTAAAATTTGTTTAGGAAATTTAATGTTCAAGGACACCACTTAAGAAAAAAATTGTTTAATATGAAAAGTAAGAAGTGAAAAATGTACAAAAATAAAAACTACTGCGTCCAACTAATGATTGTGTCTGTCCCTCGTCTCACGGGCTTCATCCAGAAGAAGACACAAGTGTTGTTCCTGCTGTGTCCGGTTCAGTTCTTCATGTTCATTCAGTGATGAAAGAAGACTTTTCTTTACTGGACTCTTTTCTCTTTCTCTTCACTAGAAAGAAGAAAAAGGTGGTTAATTCAAGCTACATACTGTTTTTGAATAAATGCATAAAACAAAGAAAGGTGCTGCTAACAGCTATAATAGATATATTAATAATAATAAACTGATCAAATAAGAAAATGAAAAATAAATTGATTTAAAAATAATGAAAATGATAATAATGGATATATGAATCAGAAAGTATTATACAGATGCAGATATTCTTTGTCATTCGCACCACATGTGGTCCATGTGGTGGATCAAAATTATGTTCACAGGGTCCCAGTTACATCCAACAATAAAATATAAAAGAAAAACAGTAATAAGATCTAAGATATGAACTAATAAAAACATCAACTAAAAATATGATAAGCACTAATAGCATAAAAACATTAAACACAATACGCAGAACAGCAGCACGGACATGAGTCTGTGTGAACAGATGAGCATGCATGAACACAGCAACATGAAACAGATCAGCAGCAACATGAAACAGATCAGCAGCAACATGAAACTGATCAGCAGCTACATGATGTGATTCTTCACAGTGTTATATATTCATGAGGCTGCACAAACTCAAGTTCATGTTGCTGTTTGACGTATTGTTTTGATTGTTTACTGCTATTAGTGCTTAGTGTTTTATTAGTAGATGTTTTTTAGTTGATATTTTTCTTAGTTCATATCTTAGATCTTATTACTGTTTTCATTTTACGTTTTGTTGTCTGTAACTGGGACCCTGTGTACATAATTTCATCCCAATTCAGTATTTATTCAACATTTTATTTTTTTACTTTAAAAATAAAATAAATCAAGTCCTTATCGGCACAAATAAATTGATGTGGAACATGTTGCATCTTACCGAGCACAGAAGCTGCAGCATTGTGCAGGTGCAGCTGGGCTGTGATGGAGACCTGTCAGGTGCAGACTCCTCTGATGGAGACCTGTCAGGTGCAGACTCCTCTGATGGAGCTCTGTCAGGTGCAGACTCCTCTGATGGAGCAGGAGCCGAGAGGCTTGGAGGGTTTAATGTGGAGTTTAGAGATGAACCGTCACGTTCTGAAATACGTTCTGGATAAAATACAGTGAGAAACGGGACCGGAGGACAGTTAGCATTTATGCAAATTAGCTTAGCATCGTAGCACCGACGTTGTACTATTATGGCGTCAGCCTCTTTTGTTAGTTAAAAATATGTTCAGAACCGATGGGATGAGTAATTTAAAATATGTTTAAAGTTAGAAAACACTCACTATCTTCTATAAATGGTTCAAGTAGAGCAGTAGTCGTGTCCAAACCACCCTCCAATCCTCCATCTAGCTCGCTTTGACTTTTTTCGTCGGCCACCAAGCACAACAACACCTGCACTTCTGCATTTGACCATGGCTTTGATATTGTTGTTGTTGTATAGCTTCAAAATACTAAAAGATACGCTCCTTGTGTTATCGCTAATGGCAAGCGGTAGAGAAAAAAATGGTGGATCGGGTTGTTTGGAAAGACTCCACAGACTCCTCCCCCCGGCCAATCAGTGACCGACAGTGTTTCTGACGTCACGGCGCGGCTCGCTCGGAACCCTTGAGAAGCCGGGCCAGAATTTAGCGAGGCGAGCCGGTTTCTGGAACAGTGGAAAGACCTCAAACGCGCTTCAACCCGGAAATATCCGACCCGCGCCGTGACGGTGGAAAAGGGGCATATGTGAGGATCCACAACCTCTCCTCCTCCACCATAACCCTCAGCACTGGCTCTCCTCAGGGATGTGTGTTGAGCCCCCTCCTGTTTACTCTGCTCACGTATGATTGTGCAGATACCAATCCAGGCTGTCACATTGTAAAGTTTGCAGATGATACAGCGGTGGTGGGATGCATCACAAACAATGATGAGTCCAGCTACAGGCAAGAGGTGGAACACCTGGAGAGCTGGTGCAGAGAGAATAACCTTCACATCAATGTGAAGAAGACAAAGGAGATGATTGTGGACTTCAGAAGGAACAAAAACATCTACACCCCCCTGAACATAAGAGGATCTGCGGTGGAAGTGGTCTCCAGCTACAAGTACTTGGGTGTACACATGAATGACAACCTCAGCTGGAGCAACACCACCACCAGCCTGATCAAGAAAGCTCATCAGAGACTCTACTTCCTCAGACGGCTGAGGCGAGCTGGTCTGGGAAGCTCAGTCCTCACCTCCTTCTACAGGTGTGCAGTGGAGAGCATCCTGTGCTCGAGCATCAACGTGTGGCATGGAGGCTGCACAACTGCAGAAAGAAAAGCTTTGCAGAGAGTGGTGAAGGCTGCACAGAAATCTATCGGAATCAGCCTCCCCACCATCACAGACATCTACACCTCCAGATGCAGGAAGAGGGCCACCTGCATCATGAAGGACCCCACTCACCCAGCACACACTTTTTGCCCCACTCCCCTCAGGAAGGAGGTTAAGGAGCATTAAGTGTAGAACCACTAGACTGAGGAACAGCTTCTACCCTGAGGCTGTTAGACTCATGAATCTCTAACTAGAATAATCACTGTGAAAAACCATATCATGTTGCTGCTGATCTGTTTCAATGTTGATGTGTTCATGCGTGCACATCTGCTCACAGACTCATGTTCATGTTTGTGCTGATGTTCAATGTTTTATGTTATGAGTGCTTAGTGTATATTTAGTTGATGTTTTTCTTAGTTCACATCTTAGATGTTATTACTTTTTTTCTTATACATTTTATTGTTGGATGTAACTGGGACCCTGTGTACATAATTTCGCTCCACCACATGTACCACATGAGGTGCGAATGACAATAAAGAAACTCTGACTCTGACTCTGATATACCATGAAGGATTCTGTTAAAAAAGTTTGGGACACCTGGCAGCCTTTTGTGTTGTATGTGGAAAACATGTCAATGCCTGTTTAATTAATTTGTGTGTGTGTGTGTGACTGATCCAGTGTGGGAGTTTTTTTTTTTCTATGATTCTATTTTTTTGTATGTTCAAAAAACCCCAAAAGAAAAAAAAAAGTAAAAAAAAAAACAATCAATAAAAATACCTTTATTTTAATTTTATTTTTTTATTCCTTTCATAGTTTGGGTGGATGGATCAGATGGCATCTGCAGCCAGTTTCTTAGGATCCACTGTGGGACGGACCTTTACAAGAGATCCTTCCTGTCTACAGCCATCAGCATATAAAACATCTCTTAATGAAATGAGGATAATGAGTTACAACAACAAATAATTTCCCTTTGGGATTAATAAAGTATTTTTGAATTTGAATTGAATTTGAATTTGAAAACCCTTCCACACCAGACCCAAGAAGCCTTCTTCCCATCACAGCAGTTGTTGTGAAAGGACTGAAGCAGCATGGGAGGCTGAATTCAACCTGCCACTGTTATGCCTCTGAGCAACAAAGCGTGATGATATTGGAATGAGTCAAATGTTTTTTGAATGGAAAATGATTCAGTTCAGTTCACTTTATTTATATAGCACCAATTCACAACAAAATTGTCTCAGGGCACTTTACTGAAACATTCACATACATAGAAAAGCCAATTAGTAAAGTTCTCTACTAAAGAAGCAGCAGACTCGTTGAATCTTCACTTCGTTGCAGTCTCCCATGATGATCACATGTTTTTGCATAGTGCTTCATCCAAATGCTGTTGAACTATAAGTTATGCTTATGATGGAGCAACAATATTAGCTTCACTTATGTAAACTTACACTGTCACAGGTCAAGTTGGTCAAGTGACATTATGGAGACCTCAAATTCAAGGCCTGGTGTGGTAAATTGACCAAAGTGACTATATTCATCTATTATTATTCAATCAGAAAAATACAATACTTTACATCAAACAAAGTTAACGCAGGTTCTCTGGACAGTTTCTTTGTGTCTAAATGTTTCGTCTTTCATCCAAAATACTTAATCAGTCTGAGGAGCCACAACAAACTCAGTTCCATAAGTAGCACACTCGCATAGTGGGCCAACCAGTTTGATGGTGATAAGATAGTTTCTGGAGTCTGCTCTCTCCCCCGCCAACTGGTCTGAAGCAGCCATGGCCAAAGTGGTTCAAAGCATCAAAGTTCATGCTCAATAATCCAGGTAAAAAATCCACCAAAGTTAAGTCATGTCCTCTGGACGGTTTCTTTGTACTTTGCTTGTTTGTGCAATTTCTTTGAAAATTTTAAATCAACTTTTTGAAAAATGCAATAAACAAGGAAATATTACATTCATACAAAAATGCAAAAACTCTGCTGGAATTTATTAAAAAAGTTAAAACTAAATAGTTTGTTGAAACAGAAGCTAAAAATCTGAAATGAGCAAAATTGTAGTTTAACGCTTAAATAAACAAAAGAGCAGCTTAAATCTGCAATTAGCAAAACAATAGCAAATTGGTTTGTAAGCATTACCTTGCAGTTGCAGGCATCCCTTTATTTCTGGCTCTTTCACTCTCCCCCATTTTGTCCATCCAAGTGCCGCAGTTAAAACGGTTTCCTCCAGTCACAAAACCCGTAGCTGGGTCCACTTTAGCACTTACATTAAATCCTGGAAATAAACATAAAATCTTAATAGCTAGCATTACAATACAAGGTCCTTATACACAAGACATTTGAACATCTAAATGAGGGGGGACCAAAGTGTCGTTTGAGGGCTTAAACAGTGGATGCAGATGTAGAGTTTTTGCAAATTTAGATCAATCAATCAACTTTATTTCTATAGCATATTTTAACAACCGCAGTGGTAGCCAAAGTGCTGTACAATAAGTCAAAAACAGATTAAGACAATAAGAAAAGAAACATACAAAACATACACACACCAGGTTCACAGCAGGTGTGTTTTAAGGTGTCATAAAAGACAAGAGATCACAGTGTGTTAAAAGCCAAAAAATAAAAGTGTGTTTTCAAAAGAGATTTAAAAACAGGAAGAGAGGAGGCCTGTCTGACACTCAAAGCTCAATTGTTCCTTAACTTGGGAGCAACAACAGCAAATTCTCTGTCACCTCTGAGCTTCAGCATAGTTTTAGGGACTGTCAGCTAATCAGCTGATTGTAGGGATCGAGGTGGGCAGTAAGGCTGAAACAGCTCAGATAGATATGGTGAGGCAAGGTTGTTCAAGCATTCAAAGTCAAATAGCAAAAACTTAAAATTAATTCTGTAGTGCACAGGGAGCCAATGAAGGGACGCCAGGATGGGAGTGATTTGCTCATGCCTACGGGCCTTAGTTAACAGGTGAGAAGCAGAGTTCTGAACAAGCTGCAGACGGGCAAGAGAGGTCTGGCTCATGCCTGCATACAGTGCATTACAGTAGTCAAGACAAGCTGTGATAAAAGTGTGGATTAATTTCTCCAAGTCAGGTCTTGTTAAGATTGGTTTCACTTTTGCTATTTGGCAAAGTTGATAAGTTGTAGTTTTTTTTTTTCCGAGCCCTACTCGGACAGACTGGATTACCAGTAATTAGAGTGATTAGGTACTTTAATAAACAAAATATCTATAACAAACAACGGGGAAAGATAATGGATGGATGGGCTGAAAGAAAAGCCCTCCATAACGGGAGCGATAAAGAACAATAAAAATTATCAAAAATGTATTAATAAGAATTGCACAAACATGAACAAAATAAAAAGTGCATATATAAAGCTGGCTCAGATTGCACTGGGTCGTAGGCAGTCGAATAATCAGCCACACAGCCTCATTTCTTCGGCTATGAACCCGCAAAATAAAGCTGGAATTAGATCCCAAGTTGCCTAAATACAAAATTATAAATATATTTTAAAATCTGTCAACAAGTTATTGTGCTCCATTTACATGGTTTTACATCTTGTCAAGAACAATACTGCATCCATCATAGCTGGTCTGTGCGGCCAGATGCCCTAAAACTCACTGCTGCTCACTGGAATGCAGAGCACAGATCTCTCCAACTTAGCCAGTTTTAGGTACACATTTGAGTTTAGTTTCCAAAATCCCAGCAAATCTCGCTCATCGGCCATAGCATACTTTTGAGTGATGTACAGTGTAACTCTGGCTCATCCACTGCATTCTCCCACTCTGCAAAAGCACTTGTTCTTCTCTGTTTGAATAGTGGTGGTGTGAATGTGCTCCTCGTTTCAGCTTTTGATGTTGTCGCTTCTTGGGGCTGCAAATTCTTCCACTGCAACTGAGAGCAGTTTGCTGCTCTGTTGTGCAGCCAGCTGAGAGCGGGGTGTGGGCCTGAGTGTGCACCTGACCCACATCAGCAGGTGTCATCATGTAGTGAACTAAGCCTCAGGTCAAAATCTGGCCTTGAGAGCCTGCCTGGAACAAGAACTGTATTTCATTGATTTGAGTCCAGAAACACAAGATTAAGTTCATCCAGAGACTTTCTAAGTGTCCTGCACTGATCAATTGAAAGAACACTCTCTTTTTCTATTATCATTACTATTTTACAAATGTTTTGATAATCAAAGTGTGTTTAGTTCAAACCATTTTCAAATGTTGAAGTGAACTACTCATTTTTAAATCAACTGTGAAACAGTATTAGTGATTTTAATCCTCATTCAAAGTAGAAATCAGGTTAATGATGCATTGTCTGATTTTCCGTCTTCAATGAGCAAGTTGTGTAAGTTGGTCAAAGGTCAAGTTTCGGTCAACTGCAAGTTTACTGAAAAGAAATGTCATGTTTAACTTTTACAGAAAGATACTAGAGAGTTGACTCCACGAAGTCTGGAATCTTCATAGCAATCTTCTGTCTGTTCTTAAACAAATTTAATCTTTTTCCTTGACTTTTAATAACCTCTTACATCACAAAAACACACCTCTGTTGGTCCACCGACCAATCAGAAAGGTCTCAAATGAACCGGAAGTGACCTCTTTTAAAAGGTGCAACACTTCCTAGTTCACGGTAGTTCTGAAACTCAGAAGTTCAGTAGGTTCACAGCAGTTCTGAGAAGAACGCTGAGAAGAATGCCGAGAGAATGCTGTGAGTTAGTTCCGAGAGCAGCAGAGTTCAGAATGCTGGAATGCAGAATGCTCAGGACATCTGCAACTAAGCTGGACGAGAGAAGTTCAGAGGAACTATGAAGTCTGTTCTGGACGATCTCACGACTCCGAACGGTTCCCTACTATCCTTACGGAGACGCTGGATAGCATTTGAAGGCAACTCTACACCGAAGTCGGAATTATCCTCTGCCAAGGTAAAAAGAGTCGATCTTCAACCGCAAAGTGTACCATTGGTTAAACTGGGCCCAGAAGGAGCGTGTTGTTCTGGTTATAACAGACAAATTCCCTCACCCATCTCTCTCAAGATAAACCTCATTTTCCATCTTTAAACTCTTCTATTCTGCTAGCAAATCATTCCAGATATTTTCAGAAATGTCTGTTGTACAGTTTGAAATGGGGAAACCATGGCCGTATGGTTTCCTCCTTGTAAAACTAGCTAACTAAGCCATGTTGTTATTTTTCAATTTGCCAAATTAATGTAAATGTGTGATGTGTTAAACTTTGATTCTGTAAATAAATGACCACATTCATTTGATGGGTCAAAGAAAATTAACGCCTCACGTTACATTTAATTAAATTCAATGCACAACATTATTCAGTCCAGAAAAATGAATGAATCCGTTTAATTTATGAATATATCACAGAATATGTTCATCTACATACTGGTGGCCCGTGACAGGTTCATAAATGGACTGTATTCGTGTAACAATTGATTTATCATGTTGGCATGAAGTGAAAAGTGCAGAGAGTTGCTGTGTGAAACGCAGCGTTTTTGCAGCTGAGATGCTCAGAGAAAGCTTGCAGTTGTGGTGTTTTGAATGCTGAAATAAGGTCATTGGGTTTCGTTTGAAAGCTGAATTTGTACATCTGTTGCGTAACAAGAAGCTGGGTTTGTGTTAAAACGCTTTATTCTGTTTAAACTGTGGTCCAGACGTGGTTCTGGTCCGGCTCGGTTCTGATTCGGTCCGAACGAGTCGTGTTTGAAGAAAGAGACGTTTTTAAGAACGGAGCGCCATCTCCGTGAAGCTTTGAGAGCTTATTGGTTACATTTTTAACAGAAAATAGTGCATTTTGACAGTTTAAAAGACGAAAAGTTGACCGGAAGGTTCTTGCTAAATGCTACACGCTAGCTGAAATGGCGAGCAGCGATTGGTCGAAAACCGCTGAGTTGGGTCGCCCTGATTCGCTGAGAAATGAGTGACGTGTCTACGTCACTTCCTCTGAGTCAGCGATATAAAACCCACCCCCGCTGTTTGTCTCTGTGATTGGTTGAAAACGGCCGTGTGGAACGCTCTGATACGCTGAGAAATGAGTGACGTGTCTGCGTCACTTCCTCTGATGTCAGGTTGTAAAGCTCGGTTGAACCGAAGCCTTTTCTGTGCTCAAAATCACTAAATGAAGCTGCCACATGTCCCACAAAACTCATGTTTCATGCAAAGAAGTCGTGCTTGTTGAAACAACGCCACGTTTTAGCTTGAAATACGTTCAGAAATGTTGATTTAACCGAGTTTAGCCGAAGCTAACTTTAAGCTAAAAAGCTAACGACAGGATGTCAACAGAACGTCCACAGGAAGTTGTCATAGGCTCCTGCTGGTATAAAGCTAACACCACCACCTGCTGTTGGAAACTTGAAATCACAGTTTCACTTCGTTTTTAGGTTATTTTGGTGAAATTATACGTGTTTATTTCCGTCAGACGCATTTTTGAGTTAATAAACGTTCTTCAAGCTGAATTATTACTGTTATCTTACATTTAAAAAGTGATGAAGGTATTTATGCGAGAAAGGCATTTACTAGGACATTTTTCATTCACTGATAAATTCCTCAGACAGAGGTGCAGAATGAAAAATTAGAAACTTTTTAAAAGATACAGTCCAGATATTCACAGAGTTGATAAAGTTTACTCATTTGCTGAAAAGATAATACACGCTTAATTGCTAGACCACTAAATAAGAGTAATTATATCAGAAAAAGGAAACGTTTCTGATTTATTTTTACCACCTAAAACAACACATCTTCATATTTAATTTTAAATAGAAGATAATGGCAGGAGAAGAGGAGTATAACAGTTTTCCTGAAGGGGAGACTGATTATTCCTCATCATAATTTTTCTTTCTCTTTTCACCCACCTGGTTTAATGAGTAACTGTTAAAATAGCGAATTTCTGTAAAAAAAACGGCTTAAGAAAGCGTTTTAAAACTAAAGTTGCTTTAAACTTTTAGAAAAATTGCAGGTTTATTTAATGTTAAGTGCTTTAGAGTAAATATCACTAAGAAGCTGGTTCTTGTATCTGTTAAAAATAAGCACATTAAAAAGTAACACTGCAGAGAAGCATTTACTTAAGAATATTCATGAATTGGGGTAAAACCTACAAATAGGTGCCCACATTTGAATAAGTTGACTTATTACAGTACTTCAGTGAACCCAGAGCTAAAAAGTGTGTGAACCTCACATGACACTTGCATACAAATATTTACCTGTTAAAAAACTTCTGAAGTTGGCAACTGTTTACACAGATAAGGCTACACAGTGAATAACCATGACAGGTGTGATAGAAAAGGATTTTGATCCT